TGATCAAATTTCACAACTGTGCTTTGTTGTAAGAAAAAAGTGAAGAAAAGGAGAAAGAAAAACAAATACTTGCGTCTTTCACAACTGTGACTTTTCAAGAACGGGTGCCGAATCTACGAGCACGAACACCGGAACGTAGTTTGTCATTAAAGAAACTAGGATTGGATTCACGCGTTGCGCGAGTTTGGTTTCTTTTGATTTTCTTGTGATAACTTTCTATGTTTTGTACCTATATCACGTATAGCGTGTATTGGTAAGTTGTATATAAGTATATTTTACATTCATTAACACATTCTAATGTCATATGTTCAATTATCAATTTGGGTGTAAAAATGTGTTTTTTTAGAAAAACGTTTTTTTCAATTTGGCATTGATTTTAATTAAATATTTTTTAGGTTTTGAGAAATTATTTTTTTATTTTTTTATTACAATATAGTTCCATCCAATCTTCAAACATATTATAACTATAGTCGTGCAACGAATAGATCAATAATTTTTTTTGTCATTTTTTCCGTAAAACACTAAAATAGTTATCGAGTTAATTTATACATAATCTATTTTCTTACGTTTTTTTAACAAAACATTATTTTCTAGATTTTTTGGGTTAAAAGCATTGGTTCAAATATTAAATTATTAAATATGTATTTCTTTGGATCATGCTCTAGAAGTGCGTACATTTTTACATAAATAACATATATTATTGTCCATGTATTTTGTTGTACAATTTATGAATAATTTGACGATTAATTTTTTTACTTTATATGTATCAAAACTTAAGATTTTAAATTATGGTATTACAACGTTTTCAATCTTTTTCTCTTATACTTCCAAAAACTCAAATATAACATTTTGAATAAAATATTATATTTCAAATTTTCACCTTAATTATCTTCTCATCTTTAGTGATATTGTTAAATATCCTTTAGTGATATCATATATCATCTTTCTCTTTAAACTTTCAACCTCCTAACAATTGGTTTAAACTCAATTATGATGCTTTAATTAATAAATAATTTAATATTTTTTTTTGTTATCTGATATCGTTCATTTACATTTTTATTCATTGCTTTTATATATAAACTCATAATATTTTGATTACTTTCTAATGAACTACAGTATAAATGAAATATATTCATTATTGTATTTTCTATTTAGAAAATAAAATGCTCAAATAATCCTAAAATACATGAGTTTTACAATTTTATTAAACTTAAAGGCAAAAATTGATTTAACCATTTACAATTTTATGCTATTTTTAATCACTCATTCACTTATTTTTAGTATAATATAATTCGCGCGATGTGCGATTTTTTATTTACACCAATTTATACCTCTAATATCTTTAATATAATGGTATTATAATACTTTAAAAAAAAATTTTCATACTTCCATAAAATTCAAATATGACACTATGCACAAAAGTATATATCTTTTTATCCTTAATATATATTAAATTTTCATCTTATTATCTCATTTTTAGTGAGATGGTTCAATATCCTTTTAGTGAAATAATATATATTATTTCTCTGTAGATCAACAATCTCTTAACAATCGTTTGACATTCATATTATTGAAGTTTTTTTTCTTCGATGTCATTTATATTTTTATTCGTTTGTTCTTATATTCATTTTACATATTTTTAATATTTGAAATTGAATAAATAAAATTTTACCTTTATCATAAGCTCATAATAAAATATATTTATTGTTGTAATTTTATATTTACAACAATAAAATACTCAAATAAT